GCAGACTCATCTCTACAATAAATCAAAAAATTAGCCGGGCGTGGTAGCGCACGCCTGTAGTTCCAGCTACTTGGAAGGTTGAGGCAGAAGGATCGCCGGAGCCCAGCAGGTCGAGGCTGCGGTGGCCGGGAGCGGCCACTGCACTCCAGTCTGGGCAACAGAGTGAGACTCAAACTCAAAAAAAAAAAGATCATGAAATACCTTTAGATTCTAGAATAAGATTTGAGCTCCAAAAGTTCAACTCATGACATTTTTCTCTAGCCCCAGTGTACAAATACAGGAGAAAGTGTTTCTTTCTGAGAACAAGATTGATACCTTTAATTTATGGTTTACCTAATGATGCATGAAATTGGCCCCAGTGCTGGTTCCTTCATAAGTGGAGGTGGCCTTCAGAAGGCACCACATTTGGCAGTGGGAAACTGTGGAGCATGGTCAGAGATGGGCAGAATGTTCTTTAGTTCCGCCACACAGAGAAACATCCTGGAACAGATGTACCTTGGCTGACTTAATTTAGCTATTTATATAACAATTTTACCTAAAATCTGTCTCTATGTAAGAAAACTTTTTTTTCTGTGGACTACATATTGCAACTTAAAAGAAAAAAAGACCCATAATTCTGTGGACTGAGTTCCCATGAACTGAATAGATCTAGTTCCTCCTTCAATTCTTTGCTTCCTTTCTGTGGGCAGAAAGCAGAATATACCTCGAGTCGATAGCGTCTTTACTTCCTGGTTTATTTGAAATCTAGATCCCAATGTCAAGTAAATGAATGATCACTGTGTTGTATCTTTTTTAAAGAGCAAGATCCTTTGCCCAGTGCCTGAAAATTTGTCTTCTATAACAGTAACTGCATTATTCTGGGTTTGGGACAAAGACTAACTTTTGGTGCTTTTTCTTTCAGCACTGTAGATGAATACTCACCACAAAGGAAGGTAAGACAGACTTTTCTATATCTGAAAAGAGGTGATCGGAGGCATGGAGCCTTGCCTCACTTGTCATTTCTTCAAAATGAAAATGAACCCTGCCTCAAGCATAATGGGAAGAGGCAGGGGAGCCCGGGGCTGCAGCCCTTCCTATGCTTTCCTGCCTCGCTTCAGTTCACTGCGCTGGTGCTGATCCGATTTCACTATGTGCCCTTGATTTAATGGCATTCTGCTTATTTGGAGGTGTATTTTTGAAGTCTCAGAGCTTCCTGCTGTCCCCAGAGTGATATAAATTTGAATTTTAAAATGTTTATGCAAAAAAAAAAAAAAAAAATCCAGGCAGGGATCTTGACTCCAAGAATAAAGAAGTCTCATAAGGAAAATATTTGCACTTTCAACACAACAGAAAAAGAAAAGGTAGCAGATGTGAACGTGTTCCCTGTGCAGTGCAGAATGAGATGGCCAGGCACACATTTTGAGGAAGCGGATACAGCAGGTGGATGATCATATTGAACAACATACCCATTTCCCTTGAGAAGGTCATTGTACTACAACAGACATATCGAAGCAACCTCAAAGTTGCTTCTGTGAAAAATATAAAAAGCTGAAGATCAGATTGTGATATCTGCACCTTGGAGGTTAATTTTGGGATGGGGAAACACTGTCTTTCTGAGGAGAAGAATCAGTAGATGTTTGTAGCAGCCAGATATGAAAAACCGGGAGCGAGGATTCTCTAGCTTGTCACAGAGATCATAGGGGCTTTTTGCCTGCTACTGGCCTTTGCCAAGGCCTATCTTATTGCTCAGAATCTCCACCTCCATTTGCATTAATTAAGGCAACTCCCAGTTTATTTCTGTAAGATTGGATGGGTGGATTTTGTATTTTATATATATTTTTTTCTTAATTTGGCTAGCTCCTTTGGAACATGTTATAAATAGCCATAGTTGTCCGAAGGGCAGGAATGCATTCATTCATTGTTCTCTTTCTCCCTTCTCCAGAATAAAGCCCTTTTCCACCAATTCAGTCTGAAGGAGAACTGGCTCCAGCATCGAGGAACTGTAACTGAAACAGAGGAAAGTGAGTATGGCTTTAAGCAAGGGTTTAAAGGTGGAGTAACCATGAATCACCACCATTCTCCTACATGAGCACATCAGCCTGAGTGGAACCGTCATTTCTAGCTATTACATCCCTCGGACAAACAAGTGAACAGCAAATAAGATAGTTCTTCTTTTTTTCTTTTCTTTTCTTTTTTCTTTTAATCCAGAGTTTTACTCTGTAACCTAGGCTGGAGTACAGTGGCACACTCACAGCTCACTGCAACCTTGACCTCCTGAGCTCAGGTAATCCTTCCACCTCAGCCTTTCAAGTAACTGGAAATACAGGCATATGCCACCACACCTGGCTAATTTTTCTTCTGTTGTTTGTAGAGATGAGGTCTCATTGTGTTGCATGCTGGTCTCGAACTCCTAGGCTTAAGCAATCCTCCCACCTCAGCCTCCCAAAGTTTTGGGATTATAGGTGTGAGCCACCGCACCTGGCAATGGTTTTTCTTTTGTTGCTGTGAGTGTTACAGCTTTCTTGGGTCATATAATACTATTCCAAGGATCAGGAATATTTTTAATTTAGGATGAAAGAAAAAGAGATTTTACAAAGAGCCTCCCTGTGTTCTGGAGCAGTGGTGCAAAATGAACTGGAAACTCAACCTTTTCCTCCCTGCCTCCCTCAGCCCATTGCCTGTGACTAACCAGAAAGACCTCCAGAGTCAATGTACAGGGTTTGAACTGAGTCTGTTTCTGAGATTTAGAGAAGAAAATCTTGGGGCCAGGCATGGTGGCTCAGCCTGTAATCCTAGCACTTTGGGAGGCCGAGGCGAGAGGATTGCCTGAGCCCAGGGGTTTAAGACCAGCCTGGGCAACTGTGAGACCTCGTCTCTACAATAAATCACAAAAAAACTAACCCCGCGTGGTGGCATGCATCTGTAGTTTCAGCTACTTGGAAGGCTGAGGCGAAGGATCGCCTAAGTCCAGCAGGTTGAGACTACAGTGGCCATGAGCGTGCCACTGCACTCCAACCTGGGTGACAAGAGTGAGACTCTACTCAAAAAAAA